CTATTGTTATCAAAAATCAAAACGCTGTGCACCTACCAACTTTCAAGTCTCTAGTTCATCCGGACGTAGATAAAAAAATTGAAATTTATCAATAGTGATATATATTTTTATATTTATTACATAAGTTAAATACTCATAAATATAAAACTGCCTAATGACCAAACCTTTATTATATTTACTTATTACAAAAGAGTTTTACTTCAAATTACGTCGAGCAGTGTAAACATCACATTCTAGACCAGTTCATAATTCGAGCAGTGTTTTAGTGTGTCGTTCCGTCAATAACGTCAAAAGAGAGAGAAAGAAAATTTGCACCAGCCAAGATCAAAGGCACCGACGCGTTATGTCGCTACTCAACGGTTAATATACTTTGGTTACACTGCCTATACGTTATCGAATTTAAATATACCTAAGTACATCTTCAAAATGTTGAAATGCAAACTTATTAATCCACCATCACATCTGATGATTTTACTTTTAAAATTAAATTTACAAATACTGAGAAAATAGGTATTTGATTAAAAAATACCAGAAATGTTATCAAATTAAAAAGTAACATTGTTAAATAGAGAAATAAAACACTACCAATTAAGGTATACCTATCTCCAATTCTGTAGATATTTAAAATTTGAAGTAGGGAGTTGTGGAATAGGGGTAGAGAGATACGAGAATATATAATCGAATTCTTTATTTAACTACATGTTTATAATTATATAAATTTATAGAGCAGGTCAAGATAAACAGAATAGTTACACAAGAAAGAAATTATGACATAAAAACTACAAACAAAAAGTGTTAAACCACAGGCCTGTCACTCCCTATACTTCCCATGTTAAATTCTGGCTCAAATCTCAATGACCTCGGCATATGGGGTATTTTTAACAAGTCTGGGGTCACCAATCAGCACGTTGGTTGCTGTCACATGGAGAAAAATGACATCGAAAAGTAAAAAATATTCAGATTTTAAGCCACTTGAAGACAAAATTAGTGTGGTTATTACAATTTTTTTTTAATAATGTTGACGTCGATGCCTCCTCCCTATTGGTCTGGAGTATTTTTGACAAGTCTGGCATCACCAATCGGAGCGTTGGATTAGTATTTTTGCAGTTTTTCACTGCACAAACTTTCATAATGTAATTTGTATTAAAAAAATGCAGATCTATAACAAAATTAGATCATAAATAAATGTTTGAACCAAAAAGAGAAATGATCAGAAAGCTAGGTTATATTAGATTAGACACATTTACCAGCGTAAAATATTTTAAATTTTGAAGGTCACAGAGTTTTAGATCGATTGACATTTCAGTGCGATCTCTTGTGTTAACTATACTCTTTGGTTAAAGTATGCAATAAAATCAACAAATTTGAATGATACATACAATCAGGGTTTTCCAGAACTTTCCTACGAAAATAACGCAATGTCATCACAGTTTTTAGGGAATCTTAAATGAGAAGGCATAGGGAAAATACACCATCGACAGGAAAATTATTGGAAACGAACAGGATTTAAAATTTCAGAAATAGAAAACTATTGGCTAGCGGCCGCAAAGTAGTACGATCTTACCTCTGGCTGGAATTTCGTGAAGGGAAAAAAACTGGCAAGGGCCCCTTATATAACTAGATTTAGCAGATTTGCATAAAATAGCGGGGCATTTTTATAAAAATCAAGTCCTTTCTAAAAAAAAAAAAGATCTCAGCAAAATCAGGTACTTTTTAAAAAAAGGCCTCAGCTGCTAAAGCTGCTGGCCCCCCTGTGCCTGGACCCCGGGGATTTTGCCTCCCATGCCCCTCCCCCCTCTTGTCGGGCCTGTTTAAAACCGCTACAAACCCTAATAGCATAGTATTGTTACACGAACGTTCCAGAAACATGTACTTGGGACATTGGAAACGTCTCTGTCATGTTTCTTAATTTCCCTCAGACGTACCTGAGATGTTTCTGGCAATGACCATGTCATCATTTGTAACGTATTAGAGACGTTTCACAGAGACGTTTGTGGAACATCCTGCGATGTTGCTCAAACGTCTTAGGTAAGTTTTTATACTATTGCTGGAAAGTTCCAGAAATGACCTAAACGTTTTTTTATTAGGATAATAAAATCTATTACTTTTTTTCATAAATTTATTTGAAAAAAAATATATATATATTTTTTACCACAAAAATAAAAATCTGATGTGTCCAACACATGACTTTCCTATCTAGTTATTACGGGCTTTTTTCGATTATTTTGTACAACCCATTGTAGCACCTCTGTAAAAATTTAGAGGTTAACTTCTTATATATACATTTTCTACATACATCTAACTCGAAAATTCTGAAAAAATTTAATTGTATAGTTTTCCCCCAATTTTTCCATTATGGTCCATTTTAGAGAAATCATGTAAAAAAACAAAAAGTATAGAGATCGATATGGCAAACATTTTTTAGTTCATCAATTTGCTTAAAAATCATAATTATTTACATTTTGTAAAATTTCCCGGATACGGACCATTTTAGGAAAATTTTGTATAGAACAAAAATTATAGAAAATAATATTAAATGTAACTTTTTTTAAAAAATGTTCTTCTCCAAACGTAAATAACAGATATATTCCATAAAATATAAAAACGGCCTCCCATAAAGTACCCCCCAGATGTTCCGCCTTCGTCCAAAATCTAATCATTTCACCTCAGGCCGAAATAAAACTTAAGTTTAAAATTTAATGTTTTTTCCTATATCCGTTTTTGAGTTTTTTTCAAAATTCGAAATTTACACATTTTCTCAAATATCTCGAATACGGTCCATTTTAGAGAAATTATGTGTCAAATAAAAGTTATAGAGAATTATATTACAAACAACTTTTATTTGAACAATTTTTATAAAAAATTAATTTTTTTACATTGTGTCAAATTTCTCAAATACGAACAATTTTAGGAAAATTTTGTATATTACAAAAATTATAGATAATAATAAGTAACTTTAATTTGAAGAATTTTCTTCCCCAAACGTAAATAACGGATATATTCCATAAAATATAAAAATGATCACCAATAAAGTACCCCCCCAGATGTTCCGACTCTACCTAAAATCTAATCAGTTCATTGGACGTTGGAATGAAGCACGCACGCATGCATCACACACACACACACACACACACACACACACACACACACACACACACACACACACACACACACACACACACACACACACACACACACACACACACACACACACACACACACACACACACACACACACACACACACACACACACACACACACACACACACACACACACACACACACACACACACACACACACACACACACACACACACACACACACACACACACACATCATCGCGAAAATAGTCAAAACGGATTCAGGGGACCTCAAAACGTAAAAATCCGTCGAAAACTCGAGGTCGAAAAAAATCGTGATTCCTATACTTTCCTTATATCTGTATACAGATAGGAAAGTAAAAATTGTTAGTTTTTACGCTCTGATTCATTGCGTCTATTTCTTTCCGGAGCCCTACACAACCAGTCATCTATTTTAATTTCTATTTCTTTTTTGTTTACCAATTTACCGAATCTGAAAATGTTTTAATTAAATGACAATATAAACAATTGATATTAAGTTAAAATAATTACCCACAATGGCTTTAGCTATTTTTAACTTGGCGTCTTCCTTTTTTCCAGTGCATGAAAACAACTTACACAACTCGTACCTTGAGAGGAGCTATGCATCTTCTGGCCGAACACCATTTTATTTTCAACTGTCAACATTAATGAAATGTCTGTCAAATGCCAATATTGTCATTGGATCTTATACGCGTGTTCGGTTATTACTCCGCGAGCAAATCAAATATGAGGTCTAGTCCTTGTCATCTAAAATGTCGTTCCATCCATACAATTTGTATAAATGAAACAACATCTTCATGAGTACTGTAGCTCAGTGCTATACTTTCAATGCTAAGAAATAGACTCCATCACGAGGGCTTCTGTCAATTAGTGTATTTTTTAGCTCGCGGAGGAATAACCGAACTCTCCTGCTGAACTAGAAGGAAGGATATATTCATCTCTGACGTATTTGCTTTGCACTCTTTTTTGAAGGAACTAATAAGATAAATTTGACGACCTGTAGCAGTTGTCTTGTGAAATAAAAATATTGTTCAAAATGTTCAAATTTAATATTGGAGTTTGATATTATTGTAGATTTCTGGGGATTGCAGTAATTTAATAATTTATTGTATTTCAAAATAATATTTAAAACGAAAATAGAATACCTATACATAAATACGATGTTTCTGAAACGTTCTTGAGAAATCATTCCAGAAAAGTTTCTTTAGAGACATCGTGGGGACGTACCATTTATGTCAGAAACATAGAAACATATATGGAACCTAAATGGGATGTTTTTGGCAGATCGGCGTTATTATGGAAGGAGGCGTCAGACAAATCAAAGTTGTAAAAAATATCTGTTGAAATGAGCCACTGCTAAAAGACTGTCAGATGCCTTAAAATGTGTATTTTTTTTGTGAAATTTTACAAAACACTTATTTGATTATGATTAGATAACTCACTTGACACAACTCTCCGTGGCATTTTGCGATCGAGATTTAATTCCCGATAAAAGCAATCTTTTTTTATTCTGAGAAAATTGCAAATTAAAAAAAAAATATTATTTTTTTTGTTTATTTATGACAAATACATTTGCCTAGCTATTTTACCATATTTTTTTATCCATTTGTAATCCTTTTAAACCATGTAACTACAATTAAAATCATTACTTCTTTATTTTAAAAAATAATTGAAATAACAAATCTTATAAATATCCTAATTTAAAATATTGCATAAGAGAACGCAATCATGAAAAATTATTTTATAAATTTTTGAATCGCACTCACGTAGTTCATAGTACAATTCCAATTCGAAAATAAATCACGCTAAACTGTTGACCTTGTGCGTGGCCCTACAAACCAATATGACTCATTTAAATCATATAATTTTTTATTACCTGATTGCTGGTGATGTTTACAGAAGTATCAAAAGCTACAACAACATCACTATCAAGTCCAAAATTCACATGACGCAACACATCCATAATGTTGATTTCTAAATGACAATTTGCTAAAATTAACCAGGACGTCCGTTCTCCATAACGAGCGATTTTATTTGCCTGAAAATTATTATTTAATCAAAAATGGGCAATACATATATAGGGTTGTCTAATGGTGGACGCGCCTCCCTCCCTTGGAGAGCGCAGCAAAATTTCAGGGGATGACGCAAATAATTACCTTTTACTTACTTTCAAATTAGCTTTTTTTGTGAAATTTAAATAAACATTTAGAATAAAAATAATCTTTTTACACCCACACAATAAGCTTTCAACTATAGTCTATTTTTATGTATAAGAGAGTAATAAAACAGCATTTCTAATGCAAAACTTAGTACGGTCATTTTAAATATTTTTACAGAATAATCTAAATATTTCCTAAAATTGTAATAAATGTACCTAAGCTATTACAAGTTTTGGGTCTTTTATTGGTCCTTTATAAACATAAGCTGTCCAGAACAATAGAAAAAGGTTTGGACAGGCCAAAAGGCCTGTGTATTAAAGATTACATTGCCGTATCTTAAGATTATTTTCAATAAGTACCTATTTGCCAATTTTGTTTTATTTTAATTCCAAGAATTTCTTACAGTAATCGAATTATAAGTAGATAAATACCTTCCCAACAAATTTCACCGAAAATGCGATTATAGGTTTTCCATTTAGTAAGGAGGTCCAAGTTGTGTATTCTTGACAGTTTACTAAATGTCGTTTAGGTGCAACTTGCAAGGTGCAGTGTGAATTCTAGTGTGATCATGGAAAATTTGGAAGGGCCGCGTAAACGACAAAAAATCGGTCCTTTAACAGTTAATGAAAAAATATTAATATTTAATTGTTTTAAATCATTTACAGACAAACATTTATGTAAAAGTGTTGATGACACAGTGGAATTAGTTAGTAGTACGCTTGGTGTTGGGAAATCTACGATTTACAGAGTTGTTAAAGCAGAGAAATGTGGCGAGTTTCAAACAGCACGTAAAGCTCCAGGAAAACCAGAATTTCAATTAGAAAATCTTTTGAAAGAAAGGCTTCGAAGGAAAGTGCATGCGTTCTTCTTTAGAAAAGAATTTCCGACAGTAGACAAAGTTCTTGCCACGGTTCGAGATGATAAGGATTACCCTGAAATGAGTCGAAGCACACTATGGAAACTTTTAAAAGAAATAGGTTTTCTATGGAAAAAGCATTCCAGAAAGTCTATTTTAATAGAAAGAAGCGATATTGTAGTATGGAGAAGAAATTACCTAAGTACTATAAAAGAAATGAGAAACCAAAGAAGAAATATATTTTATTTAGATGAAACATGGATCAACGAGGGACATAAACCAAATAAATGTTGGCAAGATGAAACTATTACAAGTCGAAGACAGACTTTTTTAAAAAATTTATCTACTGGTTTAAATCCACCATCAGGAAAGGGGCGCAGACTAATAATAGTACACATCGGTAGTTCAAACGTTTTTGTTAAAAGTGGTTTATTGACTTTTGAATCTACTCGTACCGGTGACTACCATGAGGATATGAATGCTGATGTCTTTAAAGAGTGGTTCGAACAAATTATAGATCTTCTTCCTCAGAACTGTATAATAGTAATGGATAATGCAAGTTATCACTCGAGACTTATAGAAAAAATGCCCACAACCAAGTGGTTAAAAAAGGATTTACAGAATTGGATAAATTCAAAGAATATTAAGTTCCATCCCGGTTCTGTGAGAAAAGAACTGTATCATTTGTGTTCCCTTCATAAAGAGAAATTAAAAAAATATGAAATTGATGAAATTGCAAAAAATCGTGGGATGACAGTGGTTAGATCACCACCATATCATTGCGAAGTAAACCCGATTGAACTGATATGGGCACAGATAAAGGGAGAAGTTTCAAGAAAAAATAATTCTTTTAAAATGAGTGATGTTAAACAGTTGTTTTTGGAGGCTGTAAATAATGTGAAGCCTGAAAACTGGGAAAAGGCAGTAAATCATACGATTAAAGAAGAAGAGAAAATGTGGAAGTTGGACAATATTACTGATGAAATGATCGAGCCACTCATTGTAAATATTGGTTGCGACAGTTCATCTTCTGATTTCGATTCTGATTTAGATTTGTAGGTAAGAAGAAGTTTTTATATTAAAATTATTATTTATGAACGTAACGTTGTTTAAAAGTCAAAGTTTAAACCCTTATACCTACATAACCCGTTTGACACAATGTTCTTAACATACCTTGTGGAAAAATAAAACATTTTAGAAAAAATTGCAATTTTTTACCTTCAGCTGTTTAGAAGTTATAAGCAGGTTAATTAGGTGAAAATATAAGTGTATACTCGAGAAATAACTTTAAAAAATATTTTAACTGTCTACTAAAAGACCAAGCGTACTACTAACTAATTCCACTGTGTCATCAACACTTTTACATAAATGTTTGTCTGTAAATGATTTAAAACAATTAAATATTAATATTTTTTCATTAACTGTTAAAGGACCGATTTTTTGTCGTTTACGCGGCCCTTCCAAATTTTCCATGATCACACTAGAATTCACACTGCACCTTGCAAGTTGCACCTAAACGACATTTAGTAAACTGTCAAGAATACACAACTTGGACCTCCTTACTAAATGGAAAACCTATTATCGCATTTTCGGTGAAATTTGTTGGGAAGGTATTTATCTACTTATAATTCGATTACTGTAAGAAATTCTTGGAATTAAAATAAAACAAAATTGGCAAATAGGTACTTATTGAAAATAATCTTAAGATACGGCAATGTAATCTATGGATTACGAACGCTTTATTATTTTAATACTCTCTCATACATAAAAATAGACTATAAATAGTAACTTGTGCAACAAGAGTGGATATGATGGCCATATCGCACGAAGACGAAATTTAAGCACGACGCCGTAGGCGGAGTGCTCAATCGTCTGAGTGCGATGTGGACAATCCACTCGAGTTGCACAGTATATTTTTTCTACGACCCACTAACGAAAATTTATGAATTAATAAAAATATTTTAGGTTATTAAGACAAAATTACTAATTTTAGAATAATTTATGACTTTTAATCATTTTTAAAATAAAATAAATGAAAAAAAAAAGAAAGAAGTTTTTCGCCATCCGAGAATCGAACTCCAGTCTTCAATGTGGAAGGCAAGAACGCTCACCACACGACCACCTAGTCTTTTAATTTTGAAGCTTTAATACTCATAATAAAATTGACTTAATAGAGTTTTATTTAAATTAACAAATTATTTATAATTATAGACGAAATAAAAACAGAAATGTTATTACTTATCAGAAAATGAGCTTTAGCAGCCCACGGCTGTTAGCTGCATGAGCGAGCGAAGCGAAGCAAGGGCAGCTGATAGCTAAGGGTTGCTAAAGCAGTTTCTACATGTGTGACATACAATTGTTTTTCGCCTACCAAAAAAAAAAACAGAAGATTTCGTACCATTCTTTTGACTTAGTAGGTAGTAAATTTAGAGAAACATCGTTGGCTTCCTCTTGCAAGTTTAGAGTATTTGTAAATTCTTCGTCACTGTTTGAATGACTATTCATGTCCACTAATAGGCTTACACTGACGTTTAATCAAAATTTTTGTGAAACGTCAACGTACGCAAGTGACAGTCAAAGGTATCTAGATATCTAGTAAAAAAAACTACAAAATCGGGCTGTTATGAGTTTAACAGCCCTTGGGACGATATACGTTACTTTCGGTTGATATGATTCATTTTCACATACAGTAGGCGAAAAAAGATAAAAAAAAATCGCAGAGTGCTATTAAATTAGAGGTTGGAAATTGTAGATAGGGGGGAAGATACAACCTTTACAGTTTTTTAATTGTCTCTTGAAAACGAAGCAAAATTTAGATATAGTTAATAGGAATTTTTTTTGTAGAGAATACGATTTCCCATCGAATCAAATTATTTAAAAAAATTATTATTTTTTAATGTCAAAAATATTAAAAAATATCTATTTTTAGTTTTTTTAAATTTTTTGCTTTTTGCTTTTTCTGAACAAAAACAGAAAAACAAATAAATTTCCTTTAAAAAAGCTTTTCGGATAAAAACAGACCAAGATATAATCGCTCAAACTTTGCCACTTTTTCGATTTTTATTGCGTTTATCTCGATATCGCTTTATTTCTTATTTTTTTACAAAATTGATTTTTATTTATTAGAAAAAGTATTTTAAGTTAATATAACAATATGTCTCACTAAGTTGGAACAATATGAAAAACTTTATTATTGGTTTTTTGAAAAAAATTATTTTTGATAAAAAGTTCTGCAATCATCAGATATCAATTTTTTAAGCCGGAGGATTGTCAAAAAATATGATTTTTGCTGAAGAGTAAATAAGTACCTTTATTTTTGACAAACCTCGTATACGACTGATAAAATTTGATACCCGATGTATCATTTTTCCAACATTCCGCTGTTTTTAGTTATTTTTCTTTCAACCAATCTGTCAATGCTAAAGGACATGGGGTAATTAAAACAATTTAACTGTATCCTTCCCCTTCGGACATTAGCATCTATATAATTTTCCATTCGTACATAAATTGCTGTTAAACTGAGTTTTATATGGTGAAGATTTAAACTATTTTTACGTTTAACAATAATTCAAATACTTACATAACTAGTAAAAAAAATAAAAATGGACCTCACCTGTTTCAAAAAGTCTTGACAAGAAAAATTTTCATTTAAAAAAGTCACCAATGCTGTTTTTACTTTTGTGTTATTCAAAGTTACTTCAGAATATCCGAACGAAGAATGGGCAGCAAAATAAATATTTTTAGTGATGAACATATTTAAATTATCACGGATCATTTTCAAATTACAAGCTGAAAATAATAATTCTCGATCTTAAAAAAATAGTAGGTACACAAAATATTAAAATACATCATTTTTTTCATTAGTTTATTTTTTTTTAATAAATGAGTTGAACAACCGTGAGCAAAAACTTTTTTATTATTAATGATTACCCACTTCTTTAACCACAA